AACAAAAACTGACCCACTATGTTTGGAGATTTACGTGTTTTGGACATGTGCGCGGGATTGCCACCACCGCACCCAAGCCACCAACAAACCCCATCAACTTTTGGTTCTACCATCATGTTACATATTCACTAGGCAAGCCTTTATGAAACCAAGGTACCGACCCGCCTCACATTAAAAACATTAGAACAAAACAACAAAAATCCTGGCCGTTGTGCGACTCGGTTGGGGGGCGCCCGAAATGAACGGCCCCGAAAAAAGAAAAAAACAGCTCCTGGAAGAAGGCCGCGTCGTTGGGCCGGCTGTTGTAGTCCCCGGCGTCCGAGGGCGGCTTCGTCCACTCGGGGTGCCCCGCCGCCTGCCCGGCGGCCGCCAGACTCCTGGGCTGCGAGTGCGGGTTTTGGTTCGGGAAAGGGTTCGTCCCCTGGTTTTTCTTGGGTAAAAGTATGATTTTGGGGAGAAGATGGGTGAGCCCCCAAAAAAAGCAGCTAGGACAAGTCCAACTTCTGTACATGGGAACAAAACAAGCAAAGTGAGTCCCGGGAACTGGCTTTGTGGGGCAGCCCTGAACCAGGCGCAATGCCATGTGGTGCTTGATACCCTTCCTTTTTGTTGGCTTGAACGGTGACAACATGACCACTCGTCACTTGAAAAGAGGTTTCCAAGATTGGAAGCCCTATTTCCTGGAGTGGAGCTGGAAAAGGTACATAAATGGCATCCTGAAATTCTAAGAACATGAGATTCAAACAAGTTGTCAACCTTAGCGTCAAACCACCCTCCCTCCCTCCCACATGGCACCTGACGGATCCCTAGAAGAAACTCATCTTGGCGCCCTCTCACAGGCGCCTTCTGTGGGAAGTGTGATGAGCAAGCGTCAAGCCAGCAAATAGCAACTCATCAACTCCACCAAAATACAAAGCTACCCGAAACCACCAAACTACAACCCCCCCAAAAAAACTCACCAAAACCACCAAGCTACCCCAAAACCACCGAAAACACCAAGCTAGCACTCGAATGTCGCCCAAAAAGGAGCCACAAACACAGCCGGCCGCACTTCCACACCCCCGGCTCCTCAGCGCGTGGGCGTCGTAGCACTGGAAGGCCCCCACCCCGCAGAACTGCCACTGCGACAGCTGGTAGGCCGGGTATCGCAGCTCCCCGGCCGGGCCCATGCCCACCTGTGGGATCCGGAAGAGCTTGAAGCAGGGAATGGGAGACGCAGGGAAGGACCCAGACATAGAAATACCATCCAGAAGTCGTGGCTTCCGGTCAGGGGATTTGTGGCCCAAAAACAGAATCTATCCATAAGTGGTGTTTTTTTTGTCGTGCAATAGGGCTTGGTTGGGTTCCTTCAATAACATTTCCGACTACTCATCCAAGTGGTGGTTTCCGGTCAGGGGATTTGTTGGGTTCATTCAACCGCATTTCCGACTACTGAGCACCAGCAAAGTTTTCAGGGACCATCAAAAGTTGTAATCGATTTATGGGGAACCTCAAACAAAACAGAACAAGACCTGGCGGAGGGGTAGCTTCCCTTGCAATGGCCACGAACTTGGACCCTTTGCCAACAGACCCTTTGCTGGACATCGGCAATGGGCGGTACCTTTATTTGGGGCCTTTGGGTGAACACGAAAAGCACGGTTGGATGTTTGCCCCGCAAAGGGCTACTCAGAACGGCTGGTTTCCTGTTTGAAACACCAACAACAACTGCGGGCAGCGGGGCAATGCCTTCTGCCAATCTGATCCTTTCTTGGAATGGCAGGAGTACTAGCCCCTGTTACCATCCGTCTGGGGGTTGTACATGTGAGTCAAACATCCGGCAGTCTCTGACAGCATCCTGACTGGGTGACCAAGTCTCTTGTCATCGAAGCTGTAGCACAGTGCCAATCCCTCCAGAAGCTAGAAAACGATTCGGATCTGCATTTTGGTGGATTCCGCCCCGTTCATCCTTCCCCTTGTCTCGCTCTTTTTCCCCAACAGCTGGCGGCAAGGGCAACTCTGCCCAGAAATCGGCTCTGGTTTGGGGCAGGGTTCCGCAGAGTTCCGGGGGCTATTGGGGACACCACTCTCCTCCGACTTCCAGGACTTCCACTTTCGGCCCGTCCGGCGCTGCTCCGCGCCTGGATCTCTGCGACACTGGACATGTCCAGCTGCGCCAGAGCATCGAACCAATCCTTGTACATCTGCAAAGGCGTCCTCGACGTGAACAACCTTCTGTTGAGATTGAAAGTGGGAAACCGACATGGGAAAATCGAAAGGTGAAAACATGTTTAAGCATGGAACGAAACCTGTGATACCGTGTATAAAGTATAGTGATTGATTCCCGTTTTTACAAGTACTTTGTCACTTAGGGCACCCTCTTGGCCACTGACAGAAAGTGGCATCCAGAAACTACATTCTTCCACAACCATGAAGTGAGCAGGGAAACCAAAAGAAAAGCCATTTTTTTGTGGGGTCCCGCGTGCTTTCCCTCAGTTAAGGGTGTCCTGCCCGCGATCGTCACGTTGTCGGCGAAGAGGGAGATGTACTCCTTGTCCTCATGCCCGTGCTGATCCTTGTACCAAATGTCCTGAAAGGGGCCGAACTCCACGTTGAGGGCGCAAGTAGGTGGCGTTCTCTTATGCGGGTCTGTCTTTTGCGAGGGTACCCTTTGTGGGGTTGGTTTAAAGGAAAGGAGAACAGAAAGGAAACCCAGCATTTGAGGATTCCCCGCTTCTGCGACACCCCCATATGTCGGAAAGTAAAGGTAATGAAACCGCGGCCATGGCTTCATCACCTGTTACCGATATGAAGGAATGTCCCCCTTCAAACCCATCCCCCCAAAAAACGGGTACCACCCGGGCAGCCCCCCAAAAACAAAACCCCAAAAACGGACACCCCCGGCAGCCCCCCAAAAAGAAACCGGCTGGCACGTCTCCCCCCGTTTCCGGCATCCTTCTCGCCGGTCACGAAGGAGGGCAGGGGGATGTTGCAGGTGTCCCCCACGTTGCCCCCGCACTGGTGGAAGGAGGTCACCAGCTGGGCCTTCAAACCCACCTCTTTGCAGAGCTCCAGCAGCTGCCTCGGACCCATCCATTTCCGTGGGTTCTTACAACATGAGCACGGGGTGCCCCAGAGGAAAACAAAGAAAACCCTGGGGAACATGAGGGGTTCGTGCTCTGGGTTATGATCTTCAATTGGGCGTCATGGATTTGTTTAACGAAAACAAATTGAAGGGGAAACGCTTTCAGGTGGCAAATCGATTTTCACCCGTGGTCCAGGCCCCATGTTTTTTTTCCGCTTCTTGGGACCCCCTGCAGCCAAGGCGCTTGTAGGCGTCGAAGTTGTAGCTCTTGGGACTGGGCTCCGTGGCGCCCCACCACACGTCCGCCATGACGCCGTCCACGTTGCCGCCCTTCAGCTGCTGCAGCTGGCCCTTCAAGGCCTGGATCCATCAGGGTCGGGTCCAAAGCGGCGCGGTTGGGGGGGGCATTGGAGGATGGGGTGGGGCGGGGGGCGGAGGGTACAGTAGGCCATGGTGATACCCAGTTTGGGTGTGGTTGTCAAAGATTTGGTTGGAAACCCCGAGGCTATGCCTTTTCCCGAAGTTACGGTTCTGTTTTGCCAACTTCCCAGTTACCTACTTTGTTCTATCGACCAGAGGCTACAAACCTTGGAGACCTGATGACGGTCTGGGTACGACCAGGGGTGTGAATAAGTCTGTCCTTCAGCTTTCAAGGGATGGCGTACCCAGTTTGGTTGGGTCAAACATAGTTGGAAACCCCGAAATGGGTTATGCCCTGGTAAATGGAAAGGAGGAAAACCTGCGGTGCCCTTGTGGCTCCATTTGACCATATACCCAGGTTGGGTGTCTTCATGAAATTGGTATACCTCTTCTTAACTAAGGCCTGGAGTCGTTTGTGTTTCTCTTCTGGCAGTGACTTTGCTTTATGAGCTAAATGATTTCGCGATCAAATCAAGTCATGGGCTTCGGGGGTAGCTCAAGACCAAATGAAGTCATGATCACAGGAGCCAAATGTTAGCAATTATGAATCTTTTCGTCGGGTTGCTTGAGCGAAATCAAAAGGTACAAGTTGGGAACCCCACGTCCAACATTGGCTGGCACTTCTGCAGTTTCAGCTCAACATCCCCACGAGGAATTGGGTCCCTGAGAAAGGGAAGCAAAAGGCACGTGGTTTCACGCAGCGTTGGTTCCACCCATGGAGCCAGCGATGCTTTGTCACCCACTCTCAAGTGGGAAGCCAAGAAGTTCCAAGTACCACACACACACACACACATTGGACAGCGGTGTCCAATGTCAAAACAGCGGCACCTTTCCAATTGGCTTTCGGTTTTCTGGCTTGATTCCACAGGAAACCAACCCGAAGACGGGTAGCAACTCCCCAGTCTTAACAGGGTACCGCGCATTGCCCCCGCGCCTGGGGATCCTTCAATTCCCCGGAGCTGGTCACCGTATCCAGGCCGAGCATCACGAAGACCTGCTCGCTGCTCGTCCGATTTGGGGGATGAAACCACCGAGGTTTTTGGGCTGAACTGCGGACACCGCCGGACTCACAAAAAGACAGACCTCCGCTTGTTGGCTCCCCATGGCTTCATGGGCAATTCCTAAGGTGGCGTAGGTGGTCAACGTCAGGGCGATTGCCAATTTCGTGCTTTAAATGATTGGAACATGCCCAACCGCCCAAGCCATTGCTTTCCTCAAACAAACTCTTGTTGATCCCCCTTCCCCGGCCTCCACCGCCTCCACCCAAGCGGCGAGGCTCAGCGCCAGGAGGGATCGCATCGTGTGAAAGCCGAGGAAAACGCGGGACGGAGCAGGGGGATTGCCCGGCCTAAGTGGCTTGGGCCAACGACTCGGAACCGCCTAAGTGGCTTGGCTTGCTCGAGCCAACGCAAAACTTGGAGAGACCTTGTCCTCTCAGCCGACTCATCGTGCCAACTGCTAAGCCGAAAAAAATGAGACACCCATGGCGCCCCCCGAGTCTCATTCGCAGGCCGGCGGCCTTCGCCGTGTCGCTCCGCCGCGCCACCTGCCAAGAATCCAAGCCTTTGTGCAAGGGTGACATGCTAGCAACAGATATCCTCCAGCACTTCCCCATGGACCTCGCGACATTTTGACCCGCCTTGTGAGAAATCCCACACTTAACACGGCCGATCTCCAAGCGAAGCAACAGCGCCATACTCCTTTAAAGGGGCCATTTTATATAATCGGCCCGACGGATGCAAAGCATTCACGGCTCTCTATGAGCCTTGTAGACCATCCATATCACATCCTCCACTGCGCTGGCGTTCGCCTATTCTGCAAAATCATTCGGAGGTTTCGGATCACTAGTAGTCACTAGAACAAGAACCCAGACAAATCACTTGCACTTGCTGAATCGAAAGGCTCTCCTTTCCGCCTCTCTGCCTGCCATGTTTCAATCACATGTTGGCCGAAACGCAGGTTCCATGAGCCGATCTTCACCGGAGCCACAAGAAGGGAACCAAAGGCACACCTCCGCAAGGAACTTGGTGGAACCTAACACAGCCCCAAGAAGGGAACACACCTGGTCAAAGGAACTTCTTGGAACCCCCCAGGTTGCCATCGTTTGGGGTAGAGGTCCGCTCTGCCAGGCTATGCCATCGCCTTGCAGCTTTGCCTCAGCGCCGTGAGCAGGAAATCCACACAGCGCTGGCCGTGCGCCTCCAGCCAAAGCTTTTCGGGAATTTTTCGCCGAGGATTTTGTGTGGATGTGGGGTGATTTTTGGTGGGCTTTGTGTGGGTTTCATGTGGGTTTTGGATGGGTTGTGTTTGGGTTGTCTGTGGGTTGGTCGGCGTCTGGTTCTTTTCTGGCGCCGAGTTTCGGTAGGTGGGATTTGTGTGGGTTTAGCGTGGGTTTGGGTGGGTCTTGTGATGTGAGCTTCGTGTTCGTCTTGTGTGGGCTTACGTATTTCCAGCATCCATATCAAACGTATAACAATCATCGTGCTCAAACATATACCTTTCCTCGACATCAAAACATGCATCTGAAATTACGCATAAATATCTCTCATCATCTACGTTGAACACACGTGAGTCTTCAAAGTCAAACCCACATCAACAGTCGGAGTGAAACCTATATTGCTCATCAACATCTAATTTCCGTATTTCCGTCATCCATACCAAGCGCATGGCAATACTCCCACATATACCTGTCCTTCAATCTCTCTAAGTTGAACTTATCTCCCTCTTGATCTACATTAAACACGGAGAGTCTTGGAACTCTACCCTCTATCGAAGACGTACACCGCGTGATCCTGCCCCGGACCGCGGAGGGCTCAATCACCCAAGCGCAGCAGTGCGCAGTCGTCGGAATTTGCTCCGGAGGCTCTCCCGTCTGCTTGGCGCCAGCAACTCTTCCATCCAGTGGCTTGCCACAAACACAGATCCGCAAGCCCAAAGACACATCCTCCCTGCGCCCCCAATATCCCGGCCTCGCACTGCGCCAATGCCTCATGCGCCACCTGCATGTGAGTGGCCATTGCAAACATGCCATGCTACGAGGTAGATATCCTTCAATTCAACCGGGCGAAACACCGGAGACTTCAAATGGTGGGTGGCCCTTCCTGGCATCTAGCGCTTTGCCTTGACTCATTCTTGTCGCAAGACATTGACCAAGCATTCTGGCTTCCTCAAAGCACAGAAGGGAAACCGGCAACAACCACTCCTGATTTGGATAAAAGCCAAACACGAACCTAGCACACACTGCCAGCTAGCTCTTGCTACCATGGATAAGGCTTGCAACAAATCTACCCCAGAATCTTTGGATACCTCTTCGCTTCCTCGGAGGACGAGAGCCCTCCTGCAGAGAAGCAGATCGCAGCTCGTCATGCTGGACCTGGCGAGGGGCAACATGTGGCCGACACAATTGTCGCTGGACTTGTCCTCCTTCAACCACTCACCTCCAACCCTAACCACCCCAACCACCAACCAACCACCCTGAACCACTCACCTCCAACCGCCCTCAACCAACCCCAACCAACCCAACCAGCCCAACCAGCCCAACCACCAACCAGCCCCATCAACCACAAACCAACCCTTCCACCGCGCCTGCCCCGCGATGTTGGCAAACTGCGCCACAGCCCGCAGCGCCGACTGTGCACGGTCCTGGGCCCAGGACTCCAGGCCCGCACGTCGAGTTCACTGGCCACAGTCTTAGCGACAGCTTCGTGGCCCAGAACGCGCGCTGCTGACATCTCTTCAAGGGCTGGGAAATTTCCAAATGTCCAACAAGGGGTGGACATTTCTTCCCATGGCATGTCCAAAAGCAATGGTCCTCGCAGGAGACGATGCACATCTGCACCAGCTCAGGACTCCACGGACCGCCCCACTAAGGAAACTTGTGGAAGGATAAGCTGAGAATGGCGACTTCAGCCGGCTAGGAGTGCTGTCTGTTCGTGGAAAGCAAACCTCACCAGGAAACAAACACGCGGAGGACGCATAAAAACTTCATGGCAGTTCTTCAGTTCTGCAAAACCGGCCATCCAAATAAGTGACCAGGCGAACAAAGCCCACAGCCTAGGGCTCCCTTGTTGCCTCTTGCTTGCAAAGCAAGACGCTTTGCCCATGTTGCTTAGTCTGAAGCCAAAACGGTCACCGTGAGCACAGTGCAATCTCAGCCGGCATTTCTCATCCAGCGTCCGCGTTTCCATCTCTGCTGGTTTTTGACTCCAACAGATTCCATCTGGCAAAGCCAAACTTTGCGAGTTGGTTTGACTTGTGTGTGTGTGTACGTGTTCAATAACATATTATCAACAGGCTGAGTGATTGATTTGTTGGTTGATTGATCGATTGACTGTGATTGGCTGACTGACTGACTGACTGGACTGGACTGGACTGGACTGGACTGGACTGGACTGGACTGGACTGGACTGGACTGGACTGGACTGGACTGGACTGGACTGGACTGGACTGGACTGGAACTGGACTGGACTGGACTGGACTGGACTGGACTGGACTGGACTGGACTGGACTGGACTGGACTGGACTGGACTGGACTGGACTGGACTGGACTGGACTGGACTGGACTGGACTGGACTGGACTGGACTGGACTGGACTGGACTGGACTGGACTGGACTGGACTGGACTGGACTGGACTGGACTGGACTGGACTGGACTGGACTGGACTGGACTGGACTGACTGGACTGGACTGACTGACTGACTACTGACTGACTGACTGACTGACTGACTGACTGACTGACTGACTGACTGACTGACTGACTGACTGACTGACTGACTGACTGACTGACTGACTGACTGACTGACTGACTGACTGACTCACTCACTCACTCACTCACTCACTCACTCACTCACTCACTCACTCACTCACTCACTCACTCACTCACTCACTCACTGACTGACTGACTGACTGACTGACTGACTGACCTGACTGACTGGCTGCACTGACTGGACTGACTGGACTGACTGGACTGACTGGACTGACTGGACTGACTGGACTGACTGGACTGACTGGACTGACTGGACTGACTGGACTGACTGGACTGACTGGACTGGCTGGACTGGCTGGCTGGCTGGCTGGCTGGCTGGCTGGCTGGCTGGCTGACTGACTGACTGACTGACTGACTGACTGACTGACTGACTGACTGACTGACTGACTGACTGATCGACTATAGACTGATCGACAGATAGCACCTATAGGATTGGATTGTATGAGGTTTCTTCGAGTAGGACAGGTCGAGTAGATAGACAAATAAATAGATATAGATATCAGATAACTCGCCAGCTAAATAGATAGTGGACGTACGAGCAACTCAGGCCTCTTGCTTGCTGGCAAACTTTCAAGGTAAATTTACTGCACGGCCCGCGCTGAAGCCCATCATGCAAATGGCTTGACGCAGCTTCAGACATTTCCACAAACACCCGCACACAAGCTTGCATTTTCTTGGCCTCACCAGGTCTCGACGCGGTGAGAAATGCAGATCCATCGGCCCGCAACTGGATGGACTCGCGCCGTCGAAACATCGGAGACGAAAGCTCCCTGTCCAACTGCGCAAGCGCTGGACGCGCCGCGGGTAGATCGAGACTCACGATGGAGAGATCCTACCTGGCGAAAGGGAGCGAGAGAGAGGGCAGGGTAGGAAGCACAAACCCGCACAAACCCATCCCCTCAAACCCCCAACCCCAGGCAACTCGAAGAAACAAAAGAAGCAGGGTAAAGAAATGCAACACTCCCAAGTGCCCCAAATTTTGTTTCAGCACGTTCCGAAACACCAGCCACTTGCGCCCATTCAGCCTACGTTCTGGTCTCGAGGGCGGCGTCGAAGCCTCGACAGATAACGGTGTCAATCCGCGTTAGGACATCTCCAAATCAAAAACAAACGAAAAACAAATTTCTTTGGCTTCGCTCTTCGCGACCCAAAGAAAGGCCGCGAAGAGACGCACCCTAGCAACGATTCCCGCCAAGAATCGGCTCCTTGCGCGCTGAGAAGTGCATGCTGTCCCCTGGCACGGGTGCAGGCTGATGCAGGCTGGAGAGTTTTGACCCGAAAAGCGGGTTGCATAGTTGCCACCCTCCCGCAAGACCTGCAAATAGGAGTCCTGGAAGACGATGCTTTTGTTTAAAAAAAGGGGAGCCTCTGGCTTGATCCCCTGTGCCAACCAGCCCAAGTTGCGGGCCAGGCAGAACTTTTGGACTCCGCTCTTGCATCGAGGTGCGGCGCCATTTGAAAGGGAAAACTGAGACGCCCAAGCACGGGAGAGAAGCAAGGACGCTGTATGAGGATATTTCTTTTGGGGTACCCTGGGTTAAAGGAACACCACGGGAGAACCAAATTTTGGGGATCCCTCTTGTGGATGGACAAAATCCTGCACTGCTTTGAAACCATGGGAAGCTATTGTTTGTTGGTATTTACAGGGGAATCATCATTCCAGGGTTTCTTAGGTGGTGCAGGATTTCGTCCCTCCACAGTACGACACATACCCAGATGTGGTTTTCATAGAACCATCCGCGGAGTGGACTTCTTTGCCCTTGCAGGACTTCTGCCATGCAAGGTAGCAAAGGACTCCGGTTAAAATCAACCCGCATGGGTTCCTCATCGCGCCCGGCTGCACAAGAGCTACAATCAAAACCCGGTGCTAAAGTGGCCTACCCAAAGCCAGGTGAAGAATTGCACCTATTTCTGGTTGGGATGTTCCCTTGCTACATCTGATTTGGATTTCCTGTTTTTCCCTTCATCTACCCACATTTTGATTGTGGCTCACTTCTCTCCTTTCACTTCGGCATAGCTCTCTCAGGGAGCAAACAGGTCAACAGCTCACAAAGAAGGTGACGAAGTCAACGATGGCGTCCACGGTGTCGCTCAGAGCAGTCTCTCCGTCCTGATCAGGAACAAACCCATGTTCAACGTGCTCAAACCTCTGTTTTGCTCAAGCCAAACTGCCGTTGATCACCTTGAGGGACTGAATCCGGTATGGCGAAATAAGCGAAAGGTGCCCCCAAATACCAGCTGAGTTCGAGGCCCAAGCAGATGGATCTTGTTTCGATGGATCTTCTTATTTTCAGGGAACACCCGAAAAAAAAGTGGGTTTCCTTTTGGCTTCCATGTAAAACCACCAAACAGGGGGACCCCAAATCATGGCGTATCTGAGCTTTGAATGACGCTGGTGGACTTCCCTTTGGCTTCCCTTTAAACCAACCCCAAGAAGGGACCAAGCCTCAAAAAGCAACAGACCCAAATCTGCCAATGGGTTTAAAGGAAAACCAAAAGGAACACCGAAGGCGGCGTGTTCGGAGGTCTTAATCTTAAAAAAGACGGGCCCGGCTGAGACATGACAAGAACCTGGTATTAAAATGGCCCACCCAGAACCATGTGAAGAATTAAGAAGGCGGATATCCGCAGCCATTTATGGCTGGCAAGGGGAAAAATAGTAAAAGGAGAATTCAAAGAATTATTCTTTCTACTATTTTTTCTCCAACAGCAACACAACAAACAGAAAACAAAATCCAGAACAACAAGCAAACAAAATAAATAATCACAACCAGCAACAAAAATATTTAATCACAGCATGCAACATTAAATAATTCAAACAAGCATACCAACAAAACAGCAACACTCTAAATCATCAAAGAACCCAAACTCAAAAACACACATCAACAAAAATCAAAGCAACATACCAACAAAAAATATCATAAGAGTATCAAACAAAACAAAAACAAACAGCCAAAGCACGAAAAAATTGAAGAAGCATGCCAAGTCTAAACAACGCACTTTGAAAGAGATAAGCAAATTATAATAATTCAATCTTTACAAACGATAAATATATTACAATTATAACATATAATATTTTACATGTGATAATCATAGTATGACTAAATCGTTCCAGAAAAAATGAAATTGGGACTGGAGTCCCCGAAAATTGGGACTAGAGTCCCCGAATCCCACGCATTTTGGGTCAGAGTCCCACGCATTTTGGGTCAGAGTCCCACGCATTTTGGGTCAGAGTCCCACGCATTTTGGGACTGGAGTCCCCGAATTTATGACATTCCAACCAAACCTAAATCCTTAATCCGTCAAGCTCACCAAGATTTCACAAATTAATTCGCTAGGTATTTTATATAGGTCTTCCTGCTTATGTATTGTTGGATTGTCTCCCCAATTTTCCTTGGTGCCCGATGGTAGCCGTTGCGCAGTTTCAATATGTTTATTATTCCTGATGTTGCCACAATCCTTTTTACATAATTCTCTAGGTTTCCAAGTTGTAATGTTATTCCATAGCCTAGTCCTCTTTCTATAATTAAATCCATATTTACAATAATCAACATCTTTAAAATCAAACTCATCCATAAACTCCTGATGTTTCAATAATCCAGTTTGTGGATTTTCGATTACAAAATATTTAGGATTGAAATATTTGATAATCTCAATAGTTTTTAAGACAATACTATTTGCATATTCGATATTCCTAATTCCCCTAGTTTTTGCTATGCTGTATTCAGTGCATGGGGGACTACTCCAAATAAAATCAAAATGGTTCCTATCAAATTGTTTATAATCCCACTCTAAAATATCAGTGTTGATATCAGCATTTTTCAAGTCTAATGATATCACATTAAATCCAAGCGACTTTGCTATGGTTCCAACGCTTTTTGTTCCACTAAATAATTCTAATAAATTCATTTATTAGAATTATTTAGATATTATTTATTCAAATAATACATATACTCCATCATCATTTTTTGAAATTTTGTAAAATTCTAAAGTGGTGCTTTTAGGTTGTTTGATTTTTCCTGTATTCAACATATCACAGTATTTTTTTTGCTTTGTCGGGTAGTCGCCCGATGGTCTTCCTATAGATTTTGCTTGAAATATCTTTTCGATTTT